AATAAGTTAAATACAATCCATCAGACACACCGAAATGTAAGGAAGTTCATCAATAGTACAGAAGAGATTCTTAACGGCGGATGAAGAATAATACAAGTCCATAGTATGGAGGAAATGTAGAAGAAGCAACATCAAGTTGATTATCAGGTTTATTGTCGTTTTTTGAAACTTTATATAGATTATTTATCAGCATTCTCTTCGGGCGGTACTCAGGTTGCAGAGCTTTCTACTTTACTTACAGTTTTTTCCGTTCCTTTGGAACGCTTTTTGAGCTTATGATCAGGATGTTGTTTTATTCGCTTCTGGGAAGTCCGTTCGAGCTGAGCTTTGGAGTTTTTCTTCAGCTTTCTTCCCGATCTGTTCTCGGTTTTTTGTTCTGAATCAAGGTCAGAACACTTGTTAGTTAGCATTTTAACAGCTTTATCTGAGCTCAGTCTCTGTTTCTTTACGGATACTGCTCTGATAGACAGGTTTTTAGAGCTTGTTGCAGGTTTTTTGACTGTTTTTTTCATAACCTGATCATCTGAACGAAGGGTAGAACGTTTCTCGGAACTTTTCTTGATCTTCTTATCAGAATTCTGCTTCGATTTTTTTCCAGTGAGTTTGAGCTGAGTTTTAGGATCTAGTTCCGGTCGCTTCTCTTGACGTGTCTTCACTTGATCACTGGAACTTTTGCTTGCCCTTAGATCATCGGTTTCATCAGGTTTTGTGATTTTTCCTATTCTGCTGTTCGAAGGCTTAATCTTTTTAGTGCCTCTACCTAGAGCAGTTTTTTTCTTACAGCGTGTTGTTTTGGACAAGGCTTCTGACTGCTCTTCTTTCTTGATCTTTTGCTCCTTTCCTGATTTGATTTTCTTCAAACCTTTCTTGAGTTTTGTTCCTTTGATACTCTTCTTCTTCGCAGCTATCATACGATTAATTTTCGCTTTCTTCATTTCTTTTTCCTCCTCAGCTGCCGTCTTCTTCTCGAGTAGATAGTTCAGTGAAACGACGTCACAGCATAAAGGCATCGCATCGAACATTTCGCCAACAGCAAGCTTGTCCACACCATGGTCTTTTCCTATTAATTTTTCAATAATCCTATTATCTTTTCTTACTTCCTTAGTGAGCTTCTGCTTCTTCTGTTTCTTTCTTTTCTCCTTCTTCTCTTTCTGCAGATCTTTGAAAACTAAACTCAGGAAACCGTTCACAAAGTTTGTTTCATTGGATGGCTGTTTTGAAGACTTCGAAAGTTGGGGTATCCATAGGCCGTTGACTACTTTGGCTTTGACATTTCTTTCTTGATGTTTCTTCTTCTTCCTCGTACCTTCATCTTTAGTGAAACGATTGAAAACGACCTCTTGCATAACAGCAGGTAGAAAATCAGACAATTCAATCTCTTTCTGAGGAATTTCAATGATGCGTTTGACCTCCGGCTCTTTTGCTTTCTTCTTCACCTCAGTATCTGGTACACGAGTCTTTTTTCTGGGCATGATATGAACATTGTCAATATATCGAGAAGTAGGATGAGCCGTCATAAGCGAATTGGGGCTATATGATCTAACGAAATCTTTGGGAGGAGCCTTCTTGATTCGGCTTGTGCTTTGAGTCTTTGTAGTGGACGTGGTTGGAGCTACCTTAGTAGAATGTACCGAGTCCACGACAACCGTAGGCTTCTCCGCATTAACGATAGGTCCAGTGTTCTTCGAAGAAGATGTTTTAACAGTTGAAATACCTCTTACTGTTGAAGGGTCTGTTCTGAACTGTCGTGGCTCCACTCCAGAAGTTCCCGGTTGAGGGGATAATTTCCTACTAGTAGAAGATTTTGGCTTGGGAGAATCATTCCGGATCGAAGAGGGTCGTGCGACAATGACTTCTTCTGTTTTGCGCCTACTAAAATCAGAAAGCTGAACAAGAAGTTATGAAGAATGTACCTTGTCGTCCTTTCCGGTTTGTCATGTTGTTGAGCAGCTAACTTTTCCATAGTTTTTTGTCGTTCTACTACACTTTCATTCAGCCTTGGCTTCCGTGTGGATGTTCCTTTCCTTGAAATGAAATAGATGAACCATAGCAGGAAAAAACAGTTTACCTCGTATCACACATCTCACATTTATACGCTTCTGATTTGTTACGAAAAGTGCATAATGTACACTCCCACATCAGCTCTAGTTCATCTTCTTTCTTGGAAGAAGTTGAAATTTTACGTTTTTTACTGGAACCGGAAACAAGCATCAGCTTCTGTAAGAATTCACACTAAATTCAACACATCGACTCTTAAGAAATGCAATTGGGTTTGAACGTTGTGGTTAGAATTACTGCTGTAGACCCTCAGGCCACGCCCAAAAAATAATGCGCTGCGCTGCAGTGCGGTCCGAATATGGATCAGTTAGTTAAGCTTAGTAAATCGTGCTTAAATATGAATTCAAGAATGAACAGTAGCTAGGAGCATTATAGCTAACATCTTCACTCTTCATCATGATTATCTTATTTTCACGTATTATTGTTCACGTGTTACAACTTGATGACGTGTACTAATGGCTCATTTAAGTATTTTTTCTGTTGTTGGCGGTCGTGTTTTTTTCCTCTGCTGTATTCTTTTTTCTTATGAAGTTTATAATTTAGAATATTCTTCTCAACATTATTTTTAATTGATCAATGGATGTTGATCAAGAACTGGTAGAAAGGTTTAAGGTTTGTTGTTTCTAATTACACTTGGTGAATAAAGTGATTCTAGGAGATTTGTGCAGTAGACGATTCTAAAGCTCGACAATTTTTAATTCATTGCAATGGAGAGTTGGACTCTGCAGTTCATCTTTTCTTCCAGGTTTTTTTAACTAGGAGTTATCATTTTACATCTATTCTTCAGACAGGAGGAATTATTGGAGTTCAAGCTGAAGAGTTATTCCAACAAAATGAATTAAGAAGGAGAAATGTACAGCAAAGGTAGAATTACATGCTGTTAACTGTTAATTTATTTGATTTAGCAATGTTAGTTCTGATAGAGAGAGTAGAGGTATAGTACCCAGAAGGCAACCTATGGGATGGTTAGAGTGGCTATTAGCCGTAGCCTCAATTCCTTTAAGAATGACTTTTTCCGCAATTCGTGATGTTCTTTCATTTTTCTGTGAGTCCATGATACACATATTTTATTTCATAACAATACATTCAGTTGATGCAATAGCGGGGCGAAGCGTACCTAGCGTAATCGATCCTAAGGGAGATGTGGATAGTTTTGTCAAAAAGTATAATGAAGATTTTTCTGAAAAAACAGATCAACTGCTCTCGTTTTCTACGTCGACTTATGACGAGGTTCGTGGTAATTTCCACTCTTAAATCTTTATGTTGATTATAGGTCTTGAAAGAATCTATGAGATCTTTACGTATGCTTCTGATATATGTACATGATTCGAGTCCGGTATTGCTTTTAATTTTATCGTAAGCATAGTATAATTTAGAAAGGAAACGAATTTGTCGAGAAAATAATGCACGGAGAGCAGTTCCGACAATTAGTTCTGGAGAAAGATTTAATTTTGTGGGGTGTTTCTTCTCATTCCGGCCAGGCTTCTAGTTGTATTAAGGTAATCTCAGAAAACACACTAAGTTAAAATTTTCAGTAGCACAGTCACTCCGACCATCTGGATATCCACATTTCGCTCTTCTTTGCGTGAAAGGCGCAAATAAGATGACTCGGGTATTTTTCTCAAATGATTGATTCAGAAAATTAGGTTTCTAGCTTGTTCATTTCAATGCTGCTGGGAAAGATGATGACTTCGTTTGCAACAATCTTCGTATTGCGATCGAGTATCACGAAGCTCAGTTGAACATTTTACGACTTCAAAAGTAATCAAAAAATTTTCGTGATGGGTATCAGACTGTTTCCAGAGCTCAACGAGAGGAAGATCAACGTATTCGAGCCGAACAGGAGAGAGAGTATCAGGAGAGTGCAGCTAAAGACCGTGCTCGAATTCAAGAAAGAAAGCGGTTGGAAAGCGAGAAAGCTGATGCAGAGGAGAAGGAACGACGTTCACAGCTTGAGGCTGAGGAACGGAAACATGTATTTTATATACTAAAGAATTGTTGAGTGTTTTTCCTCTTCAGGAAATATCCATGCGTCGTGACGCTATACGTGAGAGTCTTATTGGTCACGAAGAAGAAGTCAAACCTGAACTGGATAGTGTTCGTGTTCAAGTTCGTTATCCTTGTGGTGCTCGTTTGGATAAGACTTTCACAATTGAAGACAGTTTAGAGGTATGTCATAGTACCTAAGCAATCAATAGTAATTTCTCTCAGAAACTTTTCACTGCTATATTCATTCACGAAAAATGTCCAGATTTCTTCACTGCTCATACGACTTATCCACGGAAAGAGCTTATCTGCGCTCCTGATTGGTATGTAAAATATATAAATTTAGTTGTGCTGAAGTGATATCTTCCAGGTATCATGAAATAAAATTCGTTCATCTTAGTGCAGCTGGGGATGCTCCTGGAGATTTCATAGAACCCAAATCATTCAAAGAAGAGGGGTTTGAAAAGTCACTAGTTGTGATGATTCACGACTGCGAAGCTTGAATTAACTCATGCTTCTCAGCAATCTAATGTATTCAACGCATAGAATATTTTCTTTTCTACCCATTTTTAGGGTTTTGTTCCGTTTATTCGAACACGTTTATATTTGTAATGTTGTGATATACGCTATACAATTCAAAAGCTTGGTTTTTCTAAGTCTAAAACTATTATCACCGAACGGGTTCACTTGAAGTTTCCTGTCAACTTTCGAATTCTACGTTTTCAAGAATTCACCGCAAGTCTTACCATCGCTTAATCATCTTTCTCAGTAGATAGTGTACAGTTCCTAGAAATATTTATATTCATCAGGTGTTACCTATTTGGTAATTTGCACAAGGTCTAATAAAGTTGCTTAAACTTGCTTGAGTTGCTCGTTTAAAATGATTCATTTCATGTTGTTTTTCTTCATTAAGCGGTTGTGACTATGTCGGATAGTGAGTCAGAGTTCACTACAATTTTTTAAATTCATTTCAGACACCTCTTCAACTCAAGAATCGGATTCTGATCATCTTTTGAAAGAATTGATTTAGTTGGGTTCCGAATGGAAAACATTTCTAGCTTGTTTTCAGTAAATCTCCATTGTCCGTTCTATCTACAAGAGACACTTGTAGAATATGTTTGTCGGCTTCAGGAGAACTTCTGTCGCCATGTGGATGTATTGGAACAGTCTGTACTTGGCTTGTGGATAAGAGTTTGATATATTTACAGATTGCCAATATTCATTCAACGTGCCTGTCTCATTGGGTGAATTTAACAAACAAGAAGACATGCGAGTTATGTAACGAGTCATACTGCATTAAAGGAGTGCGCTTTAATTCCTTGAGAAGATGGTCAAAGCCTCATCTGAGCTCTGACGTATTTCATATTCAGAACAATATTCGACTTATCCAAATTGTTTTCAGGGTCTATGGCGTTTGCTCAATGTTGGTGGGCTAGTTTATGCGATTATATATACCTGTAAACTATATAACGAGCGACTGACTTCAGATCGTCTTCTATCTAAGACACCTTTCAGAGCAGATGATTTGATTCGAACAAGTAATTTTCATTGAAAATTAGTAACTTCTGTTTCTCTTTCAGCGGGATTATTTTTCTCTGTTCTCTGTCTGATTTTCATAGTAAGAGAACTATCATTGCAACTTTTAGTCTACTTGAACAAACAAAAAACCATTATGTTCTGTAACAAACCAAGAGTAGTAGATGCATAGCTTCTCCAATTTATAACAACCATAAAATAAATAGTCAATGCATATTCGCTCTAGTGATAATAGAATATGGACCACTGCTAACGCACCGCCCTTCATTACTCCATTTCCTTTTCATAAAGTTTATCATTTTTGGAGGAATCTATTTTGATTGTTTTTGTTTATATATGTCAATAAATGTCAATATATGTCAACTCTTCCTCTCTGGTTTCAACTTAAAGGGTCATCATCGTAATCAGCTTTGTTTTTCAGTATGGCGTTGAGAAGAACTGCAGCTCTCTCCCAAAGTGTCAAGTTCGCTTACGACAGTATGTTGAATCATTAACTTTTTGAATAATTTGTTGTTTGAGATGCTGCCGTCAATTGGCTCCGTAAATTCTCATGGAACAACCTTTGGGGTGGTCGCGAATACGGTGATTACTTTTCTGTTCGAATTTCTCATAAGTTTTTCAGGACTTCAATTCCACGACACATACTTCGAGCCAGCTCCCGAAGTAACTGAAGCTTTGCGCCGACTTAACTTGAAGGTTAGTTTTATTTTTTTGAAACTGTTCATGTTATGATTTGGCATATCTTATAGGAGCCTCATCTTTTTGATGCTCGTAAGGAACGTCTTGCTCGTGCTCACACTTTATCCCTTCACGGAGAAAAGTTGCCTAAGAGCGCTTGGACCAAGTGGGAAGAGGTTACTTTGAAGTTTTTTTCTAGATTTTTATATGTTTTTTTGAAGGAGTCCTGGTACCTCAAGCCATATCTTGACGAAATTGAGTCAGAGAAGAAAGCTCGTGCCGAAACATCCGGACTCATCCCTCCATTCGAGATGAAGCAGCATTAAGAATATTGTATGTGATTCATAGACTAGTACGATGAAGGTTTATTTTAATACAATTGTTCAACATTAGAATAAGATTTATCGAATATTATATTTCACCCATTTCTGGCTAATCTGCCAGGCGTAGCTGACTGATTTCTTATGGAAAGTACATCATCTAATTTTCCAATCTCAGATGAGAGTCTTTGAAGATTCTCATATAGAGCTGCTGCCCTTGTTGTTTCGGCTCGTATCAGAGGAATATTAACAACTTCTATATTATGAGAAATGGTTTGTATTTTCCATGGCAAACCTTTCATGTATTCTACCATCTTAAAAACTGGAGGTTATTGATAGAGAATTCTATAGCTCACTTGGATGGAATGGGTAGTGCTGATGTAATCCTCTGTGTCAGGGGTAATAACCATTTGTATCAGGCTTGTGATTTTTTGAAGGAAGTTTTCCACAGCTGTTCGTGCGGTGAGAAATCTAAAGAAGTCGTGCTCTGAATGAACCATTGCTCCTTACAAATTTGAGTGATAGATGCTTCTTGACTTGACCATATCCATTTTACTCATTTCAGCCAATATCAAGGGACCTCCAAATGTAAAGTAGAACAGAGAGGTGATTTTAGCTAACCGTAAATAGAGAGGTCGTTTGCTGGACAATTAGAAGTTGACGGTATTCGAGCAAGAAGTGAAGTAGCACTCTGAGGGAGTTTCTTTTTCGATTTCTCAATATAGTCATCATCGTAAATAGCTCTTTTCAGATGAGACACATCCATGAATAATCAATAAAATAATGGAGAAGACGATGAAAATGTTGGTCAAGTTGGGATCTTGTTATATCGATAAAATCGCGGACGTCATGAAACGAGATCTCTGGCGGCGGGAACGAGAAGGAAAAGGCGAACTGTTGTGTTCATTCAACTTGTAAATTTTGTCGTACACCTGACCGGTTTTTGACAATACCTTAAGAAACAAAGTACCCGTCGTTATTTTATTAATTATTTATTTATGGCTTTCTGGTAAAGTTCTTTTACAACACATAACGAGCGATCAACAGGTGCCGGAAGTATGGCTTTCTTCTCCAAAAAAATCTTCGATCTTTTAGATCTGGAATTCAATCAGTTATAGTTTTATTATGTTAACACTTGCTTACTTAGATATGCGTAAAATCCCAAATACATGAAGCTCATAACCAAACAGAGCAAATATTGAGAACAACAGTATCAGCACGCATAAGATTGCCGCAGGGATTTGCAGTAGCCAGGGTATCTCATGAAAAATACCGGCTATTATAGCTCCAATAGACCTTCCAAACTAAGAAAAAACTTAATGCGCTCTTTGAACGGGAAGAGCATCGTACCAGAGAAGAAAACTTTATAAGCAATTCGCCCAAGAAGTTCGCTGTGACTGTGATCGGGTCTAGTCTCCATAACCACATGTAATTGAACGTGGAATCACAAGTCGACAAGAGATATCGATACCAAGTACATACACTCTCTAGAAGGAATATTCAGACAAACGAAGAATAAGATCTACCTTCAGCATATTCCAGATATTTCAGATGAACAAGATGAAGAATATGGAAGAAGTATGTACTAAAAGAAAACATTTATTAATTGAAATAGGCTTGTCGAACCTTGTGAGGACGAAAGCTGCGACATTTGATACGTGCACAGAAGCGCGTCTTTTCAACAAAAACCTTTGAACTATTATAAAAATGCCCAAAAGTAGTGTGAACCAAATAACAACGAAAATAACAGTTTGTATGAGATATAAAATGAAATAACAGAACAATAGTAGCATAACAAGCTGATGTTAATCCTTCCACCTGTGAGCACACTTATTATCTGCACACCGGTAGAATATAGTAGCCGGTTCGTCTGCTGATCTCGTTTGTAACTCCAGAAAATATGCTCTGTTTTGCGAGCACACGGGACAACGCTCTGAAAAAGGACGTTAATAATACTCCCGCCTAAACATCTGTTACTGACCGTCAGTTACTTGGGCACTTTCCCAAGCACTTGGACCTCCGAGAACTTCGTCTAAATCTTTCAATTTCGGGTAGATTCGACTACTGATCTGAAGTAGAATCATCTCATTTCATTTCATACCTCAACACTAACCTTTCTAGTTATAGGACAAACAAAAGGACAGCATGGGCATGAAAACTGCATGCACTGTGAGCCTTCTTCAACTTGTAATGTGCCACCACAATCCGGACAAAAACTCAACATTACTCTTATCGTTGAAAAGGAAAAGCTTAACAATGTTAAATACACTGGAAACACAAGTTATCAAACTCCGCCCCTTTTTCTGTGCGGCAACAGCGATGTATGTACGTAGTGCGCACGGTATTCCTAAATTTATATCCATTTCAATTTCGTTTTAATTTCATCAGTTTTTCAGTAGAACATGATGAAAGACAAGTCTTTGAAGAAAAAGAAAGCAAAAGAAACTTCTGAAGTTGAATTGGATCCAATTATGGCCGAGCCATTAAAAAAAAAGAAGAAGTCTGTTAAGTTTTCGAATGTAGACGAAAAGCCAAAAGAGGAGAAGCCCAAGAAAAAAGTAAGCCATTTTCGTTAGCTCAATTTAGTTTTTTTCTCTTTCAGAAGCATGTACCTGAATTAATAAAAGAGGTTGAGAATGCTCCAGTTACCAATGACTTGTCAAAGAAGAAGAAGAAGCTACGGAACAGGAAAAAAAGTATTAAGTATGCAATAGATGTTTTACATCCTCAAAGACTCTTTGTTTTCAGATCTAAACTAGCAGATGTTGGGGATGTTATTACTCCAGTTGTAGAGAAAGTAGAGTTTATTCCGGAACATAAAAAGTTTAGCGATTTCGCCATCGATGAGAGGCTATTGAAAGTATGTTGTTTTATCAATCCCGGTTTTCTCAAGAGCTTGTTTAGATAATAGGAGAGATGGGATGGGCTCATCCCACCCAAGTTCAAGAATCTGTGATTCCTCTTGCTTTGGAAGATAAAAATATCATGGCTAGGGCTAGGACAGGAAGTGGAAAGACAGCAGCATTTTTGATACCTACAATAGCAAAAATCATCAAGATTGTCGCCGTTGGTGTTTTTTTTCAATGCCTGAAAAACTAATCTTTTTTCAGGGTAATGCCAATGCATCTGGACCCTTTGCTATATTTATTGGGCCTACGAAAGAGCTTGTAACACAGATCTTCAATTTAATTGCCAAATTCTTGGAACCACTGCCTTATTTGAGTTGTCTCAACTTGTCCGAGCTTGCTACATCAGAGAAAGATGTTTGGGAACAAGTAGTTTTTTCTTTTTCTATTTTTTTTTATAAGTTTACTCAGGAATGCCCTTCTTTCATTTGTTCAACTCCAGGAAAGATGGTGGAGATGTTGAAAATCCGTTCAACATTCTGTCAAAACGTCAAGACTCTGATTTTAGATGAAGCGGATCTTCTTCTTTCCTACGGTTACGAAAACGAGATGATGTTAGACAAGTTACGATCAACATAATAAACTTTCTTCATTTTCAGTACCCTAAAAGAGCACCTACCGGAACAGTACCAATGTATTTTCACATCGGCTACACTTACTGATGACATGACTACTTTGAAGAAACTTTTCATGACTGGTCCTGTTGTTACCATAAAATTGAAGGTTTTTCTTCTTTGGCTTCCCTCCAAACTTTTCTTTTTAGGAAGGAGATTTACCTGACACTGATCAACTGGCTCAATATTTAGTTTCTTGTCTTGATGACGAACAACGTTTTACGATTCTCGTAGCTATGTTGAAGTTGAAGCTGATCGTAGGAAAGACTATAATCTTTGTCAATTCTACTGATAGATGCTATAAGTTAGTTCGCTTTTTTTTAACGTTAATAAAGGCTAGTTTACAGAATGATGCTGATTCTGAAGGCGTTCGCAATAAGAAGTTGTATTTTGAATTCTGAAATGCCAGCAAACAGTAGATGCCATGTTATTAACCAATTCAACCAAGGGTATTACAATGTCGTAATTGCTTCTGATGCCCAAGATGCCTTCTCAGTACAGGAAGCTGATGCCTCACAGAAAAAGGTTTTTTAATTCTTAGTACGGATTTTATGAATCATTTTTCAAGACTGGTCGAGATAAGGAAGCGGGAGTTGGAAGAGGAATAGATTTCCACCGAGTTTCGAATGTGGTTAATTTTGATTTCCCACTCAGCTGTGATATTTATATCCATAGAGTTGGAAGGTATAACATTTTTCTCAAGTACATAAGAGCTTATATATTTGTAGAACTGCTCGTGGTTGGAATAAGGGAACGGCTCTGTCTTTCTGCGGTCCAGAGGAACGTCCTTTATTAGATAGTGTTCAAGAAGAGATCAATACAATTAGTGAGTGAAGTTATATGTAATAATCTGATATGCAATTTAAGTGAACAAAACTGTTCTGAAGCCATATGAGATCAGAATGAAAGAAATCGACTCGTTCTTGTTACGTACTAGGGTCAGTTAGGGTATTCATCATTTTTATAATTTTGCAACTTGAAGGAAGCTTTGTTCAAATGCAACAGGGGTGCCATCAAGCACGCCCGTATAAAAGAAATTAAACTTGAGGTTTTGCTCATCTTAATGTTTTGCTAAATTGTTGTCTGTATTCAGTTAATGAGATCTGAGAAGCTACAAAGTTTCTTCGTGAACAATCCTCGTGAACGCAATTTGATAACTGTCACTGAAAAACCAGCCACATTACCAGTTAATGAAGCACTGTTGCATGTCCCAGATTATATTGGTTTGTTTATTATGACATTCACTTTGACGCAAAGCTGATACTTTAAGTTCCTAAGTCCCTCAGAGGAATGGATTACAATCCAGACAAAAGGCCGAGATTGAATGCCAGATTCAGAAGAGAGAGGAAAACAACTTTCAATCAGAAGATGCATAAACGTCAAGAAATGGATCCTTTACGAACATTCAATCCTTCTGGTAAAGCCTAAACTTGTTTTTTTTGTTATTTTTGACTGTTATACTTGTTATTGTTTTTGATGAATAAAATTTTTATCGTTATTCCTCAATGGACTTCATGAAGTAAGGTCACTGGATTATATTTAATAGTTTTCTTTTATAATGTTGAACTTGGTTCAGATGAGGAAGGAAAACACGAAACGGTACGAGAAGATACAGCATTTAGGAGAAGGACAGGTGGGCTGATCTTTCTTGTGCATTTCCACGTTTCCCTTCAGTTTGCTAATGTATATAAAGCTAAGGATTTGGAAACAGGAGATTTGGTTGCCATCAAAAAAGTGGGTGAATTCTACAATGCTCGTTCATATTTTCATAATCAGATCAAATTGGGTTCGAGAGCTGAAGCAAAAGATGGTATAAATCGTACGGCATTGCGTGAGATCAAACTCTTACAAGAAATTCACCACGAAAACATAATTGGGGTTAGATATTCCGTTTTATAATATCTAGAACATCATTTTAAAGTTGCGAGATGTTATTGGTAGCCGTACCACTATTCAGCTGGTATTTGATTTCATGGAGACAGATCTCGAGGTTTCTCTTGCATATCTTTTTTGTAAACATTTAAACACTTCATTAAGCATGTCGTGAAAGACTTCTCTATAATCTTGAATCCTGCCCAGATCAAGAATATGACCATGCAAACTCTTCTTGGGTTAGAATTTCTGCATGCTCATTGGATTTTGCATAGGGTAAGAGAGCATGCACAGTGAAAACTTGAAATTAAATGATTTCAACTCACAACCGATCTTAGTGGCCTTTCAATTCAAAATGAAAAGCAATATCAGTTTTCATTTTGAGACATCAGTTGAGTGAATTTCATTTTCAGGATATGAAACCTAATAATTTATTGATGAACAGTGCTGGTAGAATTAAAATAGCTGATTTTGGTCTTGCGAGGTTTTTCGGATCACCGAATCGTTACTATACTAACCAAGTAAGTTAGTTCATATCTGAGAATGTTTTCAACTGATTTTAGGTTGTGACTCGATGGTATCGAGCACCCGAGTTATTATACGGAGCTAAAACGTACGGTGTAGGTGTAGATATGTGGGCAATGGGATGTATATTAGCCGAGCTGCTTCTTCGAGTTCTCAAACTTTTCAGAAATTGATTAAGTTTGGATTTATCATTTCAGAACCCTATTTTCCCGGGTGAATCTGATCTGGATCAACTGTGCAAAATTTTCAAGGTGCTTGGTACTCCTACAGAAGAAGACTGGCCAGAAATGACTAGCTTAACGGATTACGTTAAGATCAAGTACATAATGCCATCCTTGACTGTTTTTTCATTCGAGTTTACAGAGAAGCAACCGCTATTGAACTCAGAGAAATTTTCACAGCGGCAACAGAAGATTTGATTCTTCTATTACGGGGGATGTTTATGTTCGATCCATTGAAAAGAATTAATTCTACTCAAGCTTTACAATCTCCTTACTTCAGGTATATTATGTTTTCTATGCTGCAATCACTAGTTGCAGGAAGATTTGTTATTGATTTTTGAGTTTACGATTTCAGTAAGGAACCTTTATGTTGCCCAGACGAAGATTTGCCTTTACCTGGACGACCGATGGGTGGCACTAGAGAAAGTCGCAGAAGAAGACTGCAAGACGAATTCGGAAACGAGCCCGCCAAGAAAAGACTTGTTTTTGATTAAATTTGAAAAGAAAAAGTCCGAAAGAACTCTAGTACGTTATTTTTTTTCAAAGTTCGGTTAGTTTTCGAGATGTTTCTTCTCAAGCTCGTTTTCCAATCTGTGCTTCTCTCGTTGTGGATATCACCTAGCCTCATCACTTATTATTCCTCATGCTAGCTTGAACTCAGTGGTGAGCAACTAGTTGTAAAGTGTGCTAACTTGTATTGTAAAAGGCTTTTTTTGAGCCTCTTTATCTTTGCCTTATCCCTCTTTTTGGCGGCAACGTTTTGTATATTTTTAACTCAATGAAGTCATGTCAAAAACTTCCTTCTGATAAAAAACTTTTAATTCTTCAAATTCTATCCTCATTGCTTTTTGATCGTTATAACAGGAATAAGGGAACCTGAATTCTACGTAGATTACACTATGTATTGAATGTGATGCTCCTAGAAAGTGCACACGTTCTGCCATTCTTACCCCGGAGCAAGAAAGTTGAATATCGCAACATAATCCAGAAGCTCCAACAACTTTTCAGATTTCAACTCATAGATCTAAGTTGTGGAAGAACAACACCTATATCCTTGGTGTTTAATGTTATCGCTCAGCCACACAACTTAATTTTCTCATGTTAGCATGTGCTTTGGTAGCTGTTTCTCTCATCGCAGCATCTGCCAAATGCTGATTGCCTATTTTCTTTTTTCACTTTTCCCTTAGTCTCTGCTGTAAAGTGAGAGCAGTATCTCCACGCCTACTCTTCTACGTTTTTCTCCCGAAAATTCTTTGTTCATCGAGTTGAATTAATTTATCCGCGTTTTTGAAAAACAAAAACATTTAAGATGTGTTTTTTTCTGCCCTTCTTGTCACTTCTCATTGGTATTTTCTTAATGACTTCTACTGTTTACAAACAATGTTCCTCGTTCACTTTTATAAATCAAGTTTTTCGGTTGTATAGCATGTACTTTTTTCCTGATTATCATAGTTTACTTTTCTCTCCATCTGCTCTCTCTAGTCGTTTTCTTCACAACCTACTGAGGTTGCAAATGTGAAGGAAGTTGATATTGATTATCGAGCTCGAACAATAAACTGAAGTTTACTCTGTTTTAGGCGATCGACAATGGAATTGCTTTCTTCCCCCAGCTATCATCATATATCCCCACTTGCCCGCTCCCGAAGTGATGTTCGTTCACCGTCAATGAAACGGTTATATTATTACAACAAAGTTTTTTTTTGAACCGAACGCTTTTAGATCAAACTCTTTCTCCGGAACCCCTGTAGCTCGTTACAGTTCTCAGAACCGTATTTCGTCTCCAAGTTATGGATACGGAGGTGGATACATGTCACGCAGTCTCTCTAAATGTGGTACGGGTGGCATGTTTTCACAATATTTAGCATTTTCGGTGGCTATTGGGGTTGTAGGGTTTTTTTACTTTTTGCTATTTCTCTGACTCCTTTGGATATCATAACTTTCATTATACACATTCCACTGTGCAATTGTGAGCAATTATCATCAAGCCTTGAGAAACGTTTTCGCTGTTACCTCTTCAATGTTGCTCTGAAAATCGTCTTCCGTGATAATTGTACGAACTCAGTGCTAAAGTAAACTTTTTTCAATTTGTTGAGAAGGTTACGAACAAAGTAGTTAGTATGTTACCACGATTCATCTCGCTCAACCAACCAACGTCATTTCGTAATTTGTTTTGCTGGAGGCGGTTTCAATCATTGTGCTTTTTCCTTGGAATTCATTGTATTTCATTTTTTCGCAGGATCTACTCTGTTCGGACGATCCTTGGCTGCATCTGCTTTAACAACTACCGCTCCTTTGCATAACGTTGGTGTACAGAGAAGTACTCCTCACTATATGGATAAGTAAGTTGCTTGCGGCTTTGTTCATTATATTATTTTCTCAGGTATCCTTATGTTAGATACAGCTATGGAAATAGCGACACAGGAGCAGCTCTTCTCACACAATCCGACTCTGTAGGTTTATTGTATTTTTCTTTGATATTCGGGGAATTTTTTAGATCTACCCCTCAAGAGGGGGAATACGCGATATGGGAACGAAGAGATGGTTAGAAGGAAGACTTAACACCTATAATACAGGTTTATTCACTAAGCCAGACAGACGCTCACAGTCTGCTCGTCCTCCTGTTTCCACTTCTGCTTCAAAGAGTTACATCAGGTTTCAGTTTCTATGTATGGAAGTTAACTGTCTTGTTTATAGATATATGCCTCTCGACGACGCAGTAGATATGTACAAAAAACGATGCATGACTGTTGGCACGTTGTCCAAGGTTAAAATAACACAAAGACTTCGGTAACATCTTTTTCTTTAGTACTGGCTCTCTCCAGCAACTTGGGCTTCTCGACGCGAAAAAGAGCTGAATCTCTCCTCGTCTTTGAGTCGTGGAAATTACTCATATTCGAATCGATTTGATAGATTCAGCAGCCGTCTTTATTGAGCAAACGAAGATAATTGTCCTTTTATAGATTTGTGAGCATTTTTTCATCCAAATCATTATAATGAAATTTATTTTTTGAGAATGTTTTCATTTTCTATGTTTCTAACAAACTATTTCCAATACTTTCATGTGATATTTCATAACGCCAGTTGCTTTACTTTGTTCAGACTTTGGGACAAATTCTCTCTTTTTTCCACATAAGATTCGAAAATTTCGAAAATCTAAAAAAAGTAATAATTTTATGAAATATTCAAAGAAAATCTGAGCTGTTTAA